AATTCACATAGGCCCGCGGAGGGTGACCAGGTGTTGTTCTCTGTGCTTGTAAAACCTATTCGATTGGAATTACCAAGGAAACTACGGAAGCCTTTATGAGAAAATCAAATAACAATTTTTGCGAAATATTTCTATTTTTCAAGATTGTTTTAAGCTGACATCTCTAATCTCATATACATGGTACGATGTATTTGAAAAATCATAATAATAACAAACCAGTTTTACACGAGATAGAAAATAGATATGTATTGAAGATATCAAGACTGTCAAGTTGTAGATGCTGCCAAGGGAGGCAATTGAATATACCAAGGGATGTTATAATTTATAGCAAGGAGGGTAATTTATCATATTAAAAAACAAACATTTGTATGGAAAGGTAGATGACAAGGGAGATAACTGATTATTTTAAAAGATATAATTGTCGAATGGTACATTTTAATGTAGTTAGGAAGAAACTATATATCAAGGGGCGTATCTATAAAAGTCAAAGGACTTAGGGAAAGCTATCAAGAAAAACCGGGTCAATATGCAGAGTCAACGATATAAGCGTAAAGATTGTTAAAGAAGGTAAAGCACATGGAAGGGGACTGCATGTACTAAAGGGAGGTAACTCTTATTAACTACGAATAAGGCAGTAATAATTAACTAACACTAATGTATATATACGTAAGGTCCGCCCTGCTAGTGTAATAATCTTGTTAACCTGTTTCTGTTAGCTCCCTGTGTACTATGCCAGGGTAAACATATGTTGTAAATGTTCATGTTGTAAAGAAATGATTATATAAACCTAGATAATAATATGTTTGTTAACTGGCAAAATTGGCCTTCCGTATACCAGTTATATAGATACATGTATAACATAAAAAATCGATAGATAAACAAAATATATCAGTATACCACAGTGTTACATCAAATTTCAACTGGAAGCGAACAAAAAAGGCACATTATTGAAACGCAAATCGACAGAGTAACATGATGAGAGCAAACCTATATTATTTGAAACCTGCGTATGGCGCTAAGCGGCCCTAGTACTTGTAATACAATCTCCAACAATACTTTGGGGACTCTATTCTTGATAAATAAATGATTGTCAATTTTAATATGAAACGGCATTGATTTGGCGGCGGAGAGTGCGGAAGGCCTTTGTGAGGGTTGGTCTGTAATAAGAGCGGGCGCTGACAAGTCCTCACAGGGAGTCCTCTTACCCCTGTCAGACCTGTTTTGTACAAATGTCATCTGTACTCGAGTAATTAGCACAATTACCCTCGCCCGGACTCCCCGGAACCACGGCATCGGTTGCCGACATACAATTTTAACAATTAATGATGTTAAGAGAAAATTTGAGTTATTGTGTGTGATTTTATTGACTTCTTAATACAAACTAAAACTTCCGACTCACCTGGGAAAAATATGAAACATGAAGTTAACATATCGCCCTTTTTCCGTCTATTGTCATTTTTTATTGAAGATCAGAATAATCACATCTTCAAATAGAATATTCAACGAGAGAATTCTGTAAACATTACAGGATCCAAAAACATTTTTTCCCCCCCATAAGTGATGTTTGATTTGTATAATCTATAATTATTTGAAAGTATTTTATTATCTTTTTTTTTTACTATAAGAGTGATACATAATGTTACCAAAATACTTCCATCCGGGTACTTGGCAACACATGTACTTCATCAATGACAAACCTGAGCTGTTATGAATGTGATGATACTCATTTCAATTCCAGAAGATAAAATAAGATAATAAAATTAATTCATACGCACAGCATGCCTCAGATTCTTAGGATTTCGTACGTTTTAAACAGTCTAAGTTCAATGAAAACGTTTATCATACAGTACGTGAATTTCAAAAATGACTAAGACATTTTGCCATCAAGCTAGGCAGCACTCTGTTTCATTCATAACAATAGTTACCACAGACAAAGATAACACGGCGAAGTACCATAAAATATATCACATGATTTCGTAAAGGGGTATGATCTGATGTGTCTACCGTCACATGTGAAGCACCGCGATTCTGTCAAAGTTATTTATTAAATATATTTTATGAAGGTCTGTGTTCGATTGTGTATACTAAACTCACCTTATATCACTGTCATCATTTGTGAAGTTCTGTGGTCGATTCTATAAACCAAGGTTACCTAATATCACTGCCATCATTTGTGAAGTTCTGTGATTGGTTCTATAAACCAAGGTTTCCTAATATCACTGTCATCATTTGTGAAGTTCTGGGACCGATTCTATAAACCAAGCTAACCTAATATTTCTGTCATCATTTGTGAAGTTAGGTGATTGATTCTATAAACCAGGGTAATCTAATATATCTGTCATCATTTGTGAAGTTCTGTGATCGATTATATAAACCAAGGTTACCTAATATCACTGCCATCATTTGTGAAGTTAAGTGGTTGATTCTATAAACCAAGGTAACCTATTATCACTGTCATCATTTGTGAAGTTCTGTGACCGATCATATAAACCAGTATTACCTAATATATCTGTCATCATTTGTGAAGTTAAGTGATTGATTCTATAAACCAAGGTAACCTAATATCACTGTCATCATTTGTGAAGTTCTGTGATCGATTCTATAATCCAAGGTAACCTAATATCACTGCCATCATTTGTGAAGTTCTGTGACCGATCATATAAACCAGTATTACCTAATATCTCTGTCATCATTTGTGAAGTTCTGTGATCGATTCTATAATCCAAGGTTACCTAATATCTCTGTCATCATTTGTGAAGTTCTGTGACCGATCATATAAACCAGTATTACCTAATATATCTGTCATCATTTGTGAAGTTAAGTGATTGATTCTATAAACCAAGGTAACATAATCTCACCGACATCATTTGAGAAGTTAAGTGATTGATTCTATAAACAAAGGTAACCTAATATCACTGCCATCCTTTGTGAAGTTAAGTGATTGATTATATAATCCAAGGTTACCTAATATCACTGCCATCATTTGTGAAGTTAAGTGATTGATTATATAATCCAAGGTTACCTAATATCACTGCCATCATTTGTGAAGTTAAGTGATTGATTCTATAAACCAAGGTAACCTAATATCACTGCCATCATTTGTGAAGTTAAGTGATTGATTATATAATCCAAGGTTACCTTATATCACTGCCATCATTTATGAAGTTCTGTGATCGATTATATAAGCCAAGGTTACTAAATATATCTGTCATCATTTGTGAAGTGAAGTGATTGATTCTGTAAACCAAGGTTACCTAATAGCACTGCCATTAATCATACTGCTTATTGTAACAAATGACAATTATGTCATTCTTGAATCAGAATGAAATATTGGGCTAACTTATATCTATATATGTCATGAAACCGCAGCCAAAGCTTGTCCGATACGAGGAGGGGCCCTGCTCTATGGACTTTTACAACTATATATATCATAACACTCTTTATATATAAAATCCAAATTTCGCACTATATAATACTTATTTTTATGATACAAAATTATCCATGACATGTTTGTATTGATGATAAGACTTTTCATCATATAGTACGTGTATTCGAATAAGGACCAAACCACAATAAATGTCATTAAATACAAAAAAATCATTAAAAGTGATTGATGTAACCGGAACGGTTGCCACCTGTGACAGCAATTTGACGTCATAAATCAACACTGGCATACTGACATGCCATAAATAATAATCTGAGCATGCGTTTGTTTTTTCTTACAAAAACGTCAAATGTAACTAGAGTCGACTCCTAATAACTGTAGAACATTAGATATGTCTCTCAACGGATCAACACGGGGATACGAAAACCTGTTAACTGAGATGTAATATAATGAGGGCTTGTCGTATAAGAGGAGACGTTTCGTCAACAGTCCGCGGTGACTGTTCCTACCCGAATATAATCTACTATAAGACATGCCAAGGGTAACCTAGGATGTGTGGAATCGGATTTCAAAACTACGGCAGGGCCAACACACTGTTTCGGATACATATTTCACCACATTTCTGACTCATTAGTCTCGAATACATTTCATATTGTCCGACTGGTGTCTGAAACACATTTGCGACAAAATGAGCGACATTGCACATATGGGAAGCATATACATATTTCAGGATTAACCTTTTATTTTTTAGTTTATGAGATAATAAATCCAATGGAGGTGAATATGATGGCTTCGCGTTTACGCAATTTACCTCGTGCTCCATTGGATATATTTTCTCATAAACAAAACTAAATAAAAGGTTAATACTTAATTAACTGGATGAATGCCAACAATGGATAAACATTCCTTATTTCATATTTATTGCGTAATAAGATTATAATAAAACCAGCTATTCCAATATCATATTTCCTCTCGTGAATTAAAAAACTGTTGTGTAAATATTTATTTCAATACCCGAAAGTGCCCATCACAAACTAAAAAAGTCACCTGTATATAAATGTTAATAAGCGATTGGAAATAATGATTTATGAATACTATAATATTAGGTTGAATGTTTGGGATCAGAGTAGAAAAACGTACGTCGCGATTCGTTAATCAATGGTGTCACCACTAGGACCTATATTCCCTATAGAACAGATTTTTGTCTTTGTCTACTACTTAATTAACGGGCCAAAGCTGTTCTGCTACCTCAATCACAATTAACGCTCATGGTCTTTATTTTATCCGTTCTCTCCTACACATATATTTTAGACGTAGTCCCCTCAGATTCCTGTTTTCATACATGTATAACTCCAAAACAAATCAAAAACAAAACAGTGCTGTTTTATGTGAACAACCCTTTCTATCCAGCTATCATTGATGTGGTTGTTAATGTATTAAGCCAGTATTTAAGTAACAGTTAGGGTGAAATAACTGCCATTTTCTTTTAATGGGATCATAGGTGTGGAGACGTCACTGGTGTACTACTTTGCAAACAGTACATAGTAGCTTGTGTGCTGCTCTCATTCGTCCGACCAAACAATGCGCTGTACTGTATTCTCGAGTGTGGTTAATGTGTACACAAATACGTGCGGGGCGGAGCTTTTTGAAAGATTATTACAGTTGAATTCTGTCACCGTTTAAAAAGTCAAGATTTGTGGGCCTAACAAGGTCGTACCGGCGAAATCTTTACAAGCCGTGCTTACACATGGGAGCGGCTAATTGATCGTTATCAGGAGGAGGGCGAGCAGTATTGACGTCTAACGGAGGAAAGACCCAGTGAAAAGGCCTCAATTAATAATTTTCGCTTTTCAACGAACGAAGTGTATACACTATTTAGCTTGGATTAACGTCAATACAGGGAGTTTACGAGATTTTTTTTATGTTTCATCCGTATAATTTTGCCAACATTCTTGTATTTTTTATAGACAAGCATACATGCTGGCTTGTTGAATAAGGTAATATACATACATATATGTGTATAAATATGTTAGAGTAGTGTAATCTTACCTGCAACTGAAGTACTAAATATAGTCGTATTTATATATAGTTTTACGTGTTAAATGTACTATAACAGTGTAAATTTATCTGCAACTGGATTTACAAATGTACATAGGATCGGGCAAGGATGGCAGTAGACGCGAAACATCTGTAGAGTGTGGTATACCTCAGACGATGATTGGAGTCGCAAGTAAGCGTTATATCTGCGTATGATACAGCAGACCTGGCCAACAGGAATAGTTTGAGTGACATGAGTGTGTTTATGTCCTCTTTGCCAATTCCCTGAATATTTATAATTCTTGATTCGTGAGATTCTCCTGCTGGAAGTGTATGTATAGAACTCCCCGTCAGATGTTGATGTTTCTCAGGGAACGAGCGAGAAACCAGACCAACAGAGGATCTTGTTCAGTTCTGGGATAAAGACGGAAAACTGGAGATATACTTTAAATTTATCTCGGCGGTAAAAGACAGACGAAGAGAACGTTATAATCTATACCTTGAAGGTAAATGTTAGAAGACTATATCGGCGGTAAAAGACAGACGAAGAGAACGTTATAGCGGATATACCTAGAAGGGGTATAATGTCTTATATCGAGTATAAATAAAAAGACAAAAAGAGGAATTACATTGCATTGTGTGGAACCAAGGATATGTCCGGGACGTTATATAATCCCGAGATGTAAGGATGAGACTGGACACTTGGAAGCGACACCTGTTGGCTGTAGTGGGAATACCGGTGACTGTCCTCCTACTCGGACCGTTGCTGTGGATGGTATCGGCACCACGCGATGATATATACAAAGAGTAAGTATAGATGGGGTGGGGTGTTAATACGGCTATCTCAACACATCGACGTATATTATAATGATGAGTTGTTCCTTCCTCGTGTGTTAGTTTCACTTTGACTGCGCACGTTCGTCAGCACAGGTATACTGATAGCGGTATTCGATATCGTCAGGTAGAGTTTTTTGGACATGTAAGAAATTACTCATGGCATTTAATGTGATAGCGACAGTGCTGACATGTCCTTGTGGATGACAATATGAAGGTTTCAAAACGCTTTAACACAGGAAAACACATACATGTATAGAGATGTAAGCGGAAGTATAAAGTGTCGAATCAATATTACTATTTAACTAGTATTAAAAGTGTGTTTTTCTGTAGAAGAAGATAATTATTATAATATGTGCCAAGTCAGACAATTTTTATTGAAAGGTCAGATTAATATTTAATTTAAACCACAAACATGTTTACTTCAAATATGCGTGTTGCGAATTCTTCGTTATTACGACATATCGATCGGGTATGCTTGCAGAAGATATTCTCAGAAAAAATCAAATTTCATAACAAATTGTGTTCGCCTCCCAAAAGTTCCTGTGTTGATAACAAACTCTTTACGAAGTCCTAACTACCTGAAGAAAGATGTGGTCGTCTCAAAAATCTTCATAACGATTTATCCATAAAGGGAAATCTGTTAAATGTTAGTACCATAGTTAGAGTTAGATATAAACTGACGCAGTAAGTATTTTAAAGTAACGACACATGCACTAACACATAGATTTTATGTAAGTGTAATCATAATCTATTACACGTTCCACTGTGTCGTTACAAAGGAATCCTACCCAGTCTATGGTCATACCACAGGGCCGACAGGTGTTTGAGAAAAGAAGGAAGTTAACTGATGATAAAAACTCAGTATGACATATATCATTGAACAGAAGTAATTATCGATCATTTTATTTCTTATTTTGCTGACCAACATCATAGTTCAATGTTCCCTTTTCTTTTGGTGCACATTTGAACTAAGAATAAGTTTTATATCAACTGGCCGTCTTTTGTCGAATATTGTACAGTCATCTGTGAATTCTTTCTCTCTCAGCCGTCCATGTGTTCTTCATCTTCTTTAAGAAGACATTGTTTGTATTGCCTTTTAATCTTATGCTCATTCTCAACAATTAACGTGGGATTGACACCTTTCTAGAGCTAGGTCGTGTGCTTCCTCGAAGAATTCCTCACAATAAACATGGAACAATCAAACGGACATAGTTTACGATTCAAAAATGTTTCCTTCCCGGTACGTGTACAACTTACTATAATTATCAATACAAATAATATTTGCCGTGCAGGCGAGGTTCAAGTTATGGTATGCACCGCGCTGTAGATCTACGCGATACGCGGCTTAGCAGGTATTTACTGTATTTATAAACAGGTTAAAATGACTTAATGAATTGTCCTAATTACCTCGTGGAGGTATGTAGCCAATTTGACTTGTCTAACAGCTGTTTATCGTGTCAAAAAGACAGTTGATTGCAGGCGCATAGTATATGGGATATGCCGTGAATAACTTACCACTCAATAGGAATTGTAACCCTTCTAATGTAGGAAAATGAACACTAGGGACCCCTTTCTTTTATTAAGGGACACTAAGATTTCTGCAGGGAACTCGTACCACTCCCAAAAATATACAATGCACTGGAAACCGCTTTTCTAGTTTGACTATAGCTTTGATAAATCATTTCTGAAAAGAAAATCATCTCTTGTGGAACTTTGATGAAATCATAATAATGAAGATAAAATAAACAAAATATCAACAATAGTGTTTTGAGTGTAAAATGTCAGCGAGCAAAAGTAGGATTCAAACCCTTAACTTCAGAGTTTTAAACTGTCACTCTAAACAACCACAGTTTATAAAAACAAACGAACTGGAGGGGAGGTAAACGATTCACTCTATTGCGATACAGTTCACTCTATTGAGATACAGTTCACTCTATTCAGATACAGTATTGAGATACAGTTCACTCTATTGAGATACAGTTCACTCTATTGAGATACAGTCCTGAGATACAGTTCAAAGTGTTGCTAAACTTGAGAGTAACTAAATTGCGGACTATGTTAAAAGTATATATCAATCTGTTTGGAAGAAATATGTATATTCATATAACAAAAAAATTCTTTGAAACTAATTTTCCACGATTTCATGTCCCTGGTTTTAGGATACAAACTTAACTCCCTTTGCAACACAATACGAACATTTACTGTTTTTAAACATTTTGAAAATTGTACATTAAGTGTCAGCATACCAATAACGTTTGGTCAATTGTGTGTACCGACTGTTTTAACGGTTCATTACGAGACACATAATGAGCGTTTGATTATATCTTCAATTTCTAGATAAATATCAAGCGGTCCTTACCAGAATCGGGGCAATAACCATCACTTGTTATCATCCGTGTAAGCTATTAATGTAACATTGGCTGAAGTAATAGAACCATTTAAACCTAACTAAACTCATAATATTTAGCCAATATCATGTAAATCGGTTTTTTAAATATTCGGAGAAGTAATTAGGCTTGCTAAAATTTGGTTAATTTAAAAATCAATATTTGACAATCTCTTTTCATTGCAAATATTGGTTATCATCGATTTTAACTGGAAAATCGTTTCCATGTTTTGATAATAACAGTGATGTTGAATGACAATTGGCGACATTTAGTGAAATATTAGTGGATGAAATGATATGTCATTGACAGAAAGGATAGACAAGGGTAGATATTAATTTGGATCTGGTAATGGTTATTTTGTGGCGAGATTTTAATTGATGTAATGTATTGTTAACTAATTTATCATGTTATGATTGGGTTTTGAAGTACCAGTCGTTGTACAGGGGCACCTGGATAATCTAACGAGCTTCTCTTACGTAGCTGAATAACTCAAATAGCCTATCAAAAATGGCAATCAGTTCCGTAAACTATTGTCTACGATGTCCAACTACACGGGAAGAACGCTTACAAGGAAAGATAATAAGAAATTATTGAATGAGTTGTTATAATCCTGAAACACACATTAGACCAGTAAAAGTTTCTTATTTACAAGATATAAGATGCTTAACCGTAAAGATTGCTCTGTGTTGTACGATATTTTAGTATCAAGTGGTTTGAACCTGCTCCTGCTTCAGACAAATGTCTTAACCTATTCACCTTAATCTCATTACCTCCACCTTAACGTGCAATCAATACAATGTCAATGAAGTAAAATAGGAAATCATTGTTTATATTTGTAGAAATAGGATTTTGTATGTATATAATATAGATGAATTTTAATCCCGGACATACATTCTACCATTGATTTTGATTATTGAGAACGTTGGAGGATACTCGTTCCACTGCTGAAAATGTAACAACGCATTAGAAACTACATATGTCTTTTTATGGTTTGATTATATCTTTCATACATGTTTGGTTTGGTTTGGTTTGGTTTGTTTGTGTTTTACGTCCTATTAACAGCTATGGTCATTTAAGGACGAGCCAGGTTTTGGTGGTTGAGGAAAGCCGGAGTTACCGGAGAAAATCCACCGACCTACAGCCAGGACCTGGCGAAATTAACATTGGGCGAACATTTCGAAGTTTGACTGAGCGAAAGTTTGACTGGGCGAAAGTTTCCCGGTATATATAAAATCTCCATATATAACATGCAACGAACTGCTCTCCCAATTACCTTTATAAAATCTTTCAAAAAAAATAAAATCGTTACTTACAAACGAACCTTATTTGTGAAACAATATTAACGATGTTTTAACGTTTAGATGAGGTAGAGTGGGTTGGACAATGAACCAAACTTTATTACACTTAAGATTTCGTAAAGAAAGTCTGTTGAAAGAATACTGACGTCATAGTTGCCCCTCGCGTTTAATCTATGATGTCATCTCAATGAACTTTATGACGTCGCGTGAGTTGTTATAATGTATAACATACATAAGCTTGGCAACGGCAACTGCATAGTATGATGATATTACACTTCATAAAACAGACCATAATGATTTGATGTTGAAATTTAACACTGCGTGAAAATGAAACCATAACAGATATTTATAGTTCTATATATATATAATTCCAGGCTTTTAGCAGAACAATTTATCATATAGTTAGATGTTTTAATTTTAACAGTAACGCTTTAAAACGGTCGAGAAAATATATACATTGAATTCAACGGAACAAACATTGGAACATTAGCCAACCACAATATCTAAATCAGCTATTGATTTCGTGTGCATTATGGTGGCTAATAAATAACCTTATTTCACGCTCATTCAAATAACTGGGGTTTAAATCACTATGAAATAAAATAATGTCATTATATTGAAAACCATTCACAAACACGATGTATTCAATTTAAGAAATCGCGTTAACGTAATGGCCTGTAGATTTACGACTTTTCGTCCGTTATAATGTAATGGAAAAATAAAACCACCAACTAAGCACTTAAAATCAGTGATGCGTAATTCAATTAACCCTAGCTAATCCTTAATACCACATAGAAGTTGACAGTAATGTGTTTCCACATGAGTGATCTGTCTACGTTATGCGTTAATGACGACATGCGCCATTAGCAAGCTGAGCCGATCATCACAGTAGGCAGTAATGAGCTGATGCATCCTCAGAGTCATTACACTACTCAGATATAATCTAATTGATAAAATCAGATCATTTAAAAAAGATATCTGCAGTAAATTTACCATTATTAAGTACAACGTGTCATAAAATGTAGAAATACAATTTGTTTTGCATAAGATATATGCATGTTTCGAGAAATATGCCTACATCGGTTATGCTGAAGGTAAAAGAATCACATTGCAAAATTGTAAATCAGCTGTTACATACATCAATCTGTTACTTTAATATACATGTGGCTGGTAAACGAAAAAAGGATAACTACCTTAACTAGGTATAGCTTATGACGAAACTTATGAATTATTGATTATCTATATTTATGAAAAATGGTAAATAGGAGACGATCATAAACATGAC